CATACAATCTGCAAATTATCAAAATGGGCATCAATATCACAATCACCCTGAAACCTCGCAACCGGCGAACCCCAAGAATCCGGGTCCGGGTTGCCCGAATCAATATCATCAGGGATACTCCCACGTTCAAAGAACCAGATACTAATAGCATCTGAAGTCCATTCTGTCGCGAAGACACCGCCGTTATTGGCATTGAAGGCGGTTCCGTACGAGGTACCGTCGGGGTCGGTGATACCGCACCCGGCGTTATTGGATTGGCCTGCGGCGGAGACGTAGCAGTTGCTGGTGGTCATGGAGCCGGTGAAGTCTGCGGAAGAGGAGACGCTGCACCCGTCGCTGGTGTGCAGGGTCATGTCGTTGCCGGATTGTTGGTTCACGCCTTCGATGATGTCGATTTCGCCGTTGTTGGGCCAGTCGGCGCCGACGAGCCAGCTACAGATTATCTTTTGTTAGCGGGGTGGTGTGTATGTATGGAGAATGGGTGGGTGGCTTACAAGGCAGGCCAGGTACCGCAGACACCTCCGGGCATGTGTCCAAGGTCGAGGATGAAGAGACCATGGTTGTAGGTGGCATCGCTGCTGATGCGGACGCTTTGACGGCCGCTGCTGCCAGCGACATTGGTGTGGTCGACGCCCATGTAGACAGGGGCGTCGCCAGAGGTGGAGATATAGCCATTGCTCTGGGCGGTGGCTTCATCGACGTAGTCGACGAAGCCGTTGGTAGGGTCAGCGCCGGTGAAGAAAGTGAAGCCATCGAAGAAGCTATCGCCCGAGTAATCGTCTTGTAAAGTGTAAGCTGCAGAACTGAGCTGCGCCGTGAGGCCTAAGGCCGAAAGAAGAGTCGCGGTGCGTCGCATCGCGATGAACTGAAGAGTATATTTTATTTTTCTTTTCAAGGAGAGGTAGAGGAGGATTTTGAACTATAGACCAGCTAGAATGATGTTTTCTTCCTCTGCAGAAAAGGTGATCGTGGAAAAGGAATGAAAAGAAGTAGATATTTATATATGAATGCGTATAACGTGTTAGTAGTAGTATGCGAGATCTAAGGAATGGAGCCGCAGCTCAATCTTAGCAGCTGCAGCAGAAATAGGCAAAGGAATGTTGGTCTAGAGACGAGGTATCTGAATTCGTCGAGCCATGGCCGTGAACAGGATTTATATATGGCGCGACGCGCGCGAGAGAGAGAGAGCGTAGAAAGTTTAGTTAAGAGAGAGAGGAGTGTAGAGACAAACGCCGAGATAGGGGGCCCTCGGGCCTCCCCTCCGGGTTTGGTCAAGCCTTTCAAACACAGACACTAACGATCTGAGTGGCGCCGACTATGAACAATCCACAGCCAGCCCACCGGACCAGAGCGCAGGACCAGTCGGCCAGCTGCGAGGCCCATGTGGATTGATTGATTGATTAAGTCGAGACCGTTAATTTAATCCGCGGGCCAATATAGGGCATGAAAACGGGTAGGCTAGAAAATCAAATGCGCCAGTGACAGGCGATCGGGCACATTCCGGAGTCGAGGGTTTGGCCAATTAAGGCATGTAGAACACCATTTTGAATGAAAGTTGCTGCAGGCTGGGCGTCTAGTCAAACCGCGCGGAGGATGAAGATCAGTCCCGAGATGGGAAGGATTCCGCAAGCAGATGCAGGCTTGCAGCCCATAACCCGAGCTTAGGACAGGGCCACGCGATGCATCGGAAAGTCCAATCAAGAGGGCCTGGCAGGGAGGAAAATAGGAAATAGCCGGCAGCATCAGCAGATGAAATCCCCGCCCGGATGCAGCAACTGGAATGCCACTCACCAACGTTATTTTGTTTTCTGTCACTTTGAATGGCCTTTTGACAGCTCGCGAGAATTTGCCTCCCTCGGTCAGCCGATCCTGTTAGATTCATTAAGTTGCAGAAAATAATAGACTAAGACAATAAGGAGATAGTAGAGATGAAGGTAAAGAATTAGAAGAAAATGCTATTAGGACATCGTCGTCACGCTGCCATCGCTGGTTCATTATGTACAGGACACATCGGGCATGCCAACAACTCCTCCCACTCCGATCCTCCTCGGTGAAACGGTCCTCCACGATGCTGATGCTGATACTGATGATGGTGTCGGTGCTGGGGATGCGCAGGGTGCGCAGTAGTCGAAGAGTCGACCTCCAACAGACATCGCCGGTGGTACAGATGCCGGCAGGAGAAGATCACGACCGGCCCAGCAGCCACCGTCGCGTTCTCGCCATTCACACCCTCACCATCTGCTGCGGCCGCATGCCCATCCATCAGCGGGAGCGGCTGACCTGCATCGGCGGCCTTGCCCTTCCCCCGCGCGGTCGCCGGATCATGTTGTGCATGAAGTCGTTTCTGGAGACGCTGCTCGTGCGTCTTTTCCTGTTTCTGCTCCCACGCCTGCCAATACTGGGGTCCAACCCCAGGTCCCCAGATGCGCTGCCGGCAGATTTCACAGACCTGCCCGCGTGGTCGCCATCCCCGCTGCCGTAGTCGCGTCACCTCGTCCACATGCACAAACAGATCCCGGTCCAGCATGCCATTGGCCAGTGCTAATAGGGATTTCTCATACGTGTAGGCCGAGAATATTGATGCCAGTACCGCCCGTAGTTCCAACAGGGAGGGCGACCAGCTGGCCGCCCGCGTGAGGAACGCCCGCAGAATGCGGAGAAAGCTCACGTCGCTCCGCTCGCTGCTTGATGATCCACCAACCCGCACCGTACTGGACAGCAGCGACGTGAACACCTGCTGCACCAGGGCGCGGAACGCCGACATCAAGTGGCTGGTTGCCGGAGTCACTGGGGCTGCACGCTCTTGCTGCACCAAGCCAAACACGCTGCTGGCCGTCCGCACGACGGCCTCGATAAGATCTAGCCAAAGGCTTTCGTCGAAGGAGAGAGGTTGCTCCAGATTACCCTTACCCGTGCCATTCCATTCCACCGCACGTGAATTCTTTGCCGTCTTGCTTTGCCCCTGGCAAAGCCAGGTTCCCACTCGCGTAAACTTGTCAAGGGACTCAACGAGATGGTCGATCGCCTCCTTCGTACTGGCGGAGTCGGGGCTATCGTGCAGGTTCTGTAGAATGCCTACCAGCCCTGACTCAAGAGTCCCCAGGTGTGTGATGAGACGATCCATCGCGGCCCGCACTTGACCTTGTCGAGCCAGCAATATCACGGCCGCATCCACCACCCCACTCTCCTCCATGGATGGCAGCAGTTCCTCCAGCCGGACGTCTCCGACCCGTAGATCATCTACAAAGTCGGCAACGCGAGACGGGTTATACTTGCAGAGCAGCTGCACATATCGCTCGACCATCCAATTCTCGATGGGCTTGCCCTGTCGTCCCTCCGCCACAGACTGCAAAGACATGCGCACTACAACGCCCAGGTACTGGTACTGCCGGCCAGTATCGTCTTTGAGGATGTCAAGGAAGGTCCCGTGGAGTTCCGGTGCGAGCCCATGCATCGTCTGGGCGGTCTTCTCCACATCGATGGCGACCAGCTGGCCAGCATGCTCTTTGACCACGTCGACAACATCACGTCGCTGCTTCTTACCCAGTCCTGAGCCAGGACGAAGGCAGTCATGGAGACAGGTAAAGATGGCCTCCTGCTCATTCGGATCTTCAAGGTATGTGCGCACTAACTCCGGGTACTGCTTTTCAGAGCGGTAGGTAGCTTTCAGAATCCGGAAAAAGCGTGCTTCCTTGTAGAGCGGGATCATGCCCTGGACGTTGGGAGGATGGTAGAAAGACAACAGGTACTCGGCGCTCAATTCGCAATCGTCGGCCATATCCAGGCTCGGATATCGGCACAGCCGCTCCAAGACCTGGTGAAGAGTGCTGCCCGGGAGGAGAATATATTGTGGATATTTAGGAAGGTTGCGCGCAAGGAACATATCTAAATAAATGGTATCAGATGCATCGAAGGACTGAGTCATAACCTGTAAAAGAATGCTGATGAGATATTGTCGGTTAATGGACACTCCCCGGACAGGAGTCTCATCGGGTTCTTGCTCATTCAAAAAGCTGTCCTCAAACGCCTCGTTCATCATACTCATGAAACTGGATGTGTCGAATCGCAGCATGGCCTGGAGCTCGGGAAACGACCCGCCTGGCTGAGCTCGAGCCCCGGCTTTGGTGCCAGACGGTTTGCCAGAGAACAAGTAATCGTACAAGGTCGCTTTGGCTCGGGTCGCTTCGGCGTCGTCCATGTCTGCCCCGGTAGGATAGACACGCCCAGTAAGAACGAAGGAAAGATAAGGGAACATCTTCATCGCATTAGTATACCGCTTGAGGCCATCCACTGACTCCCCATTGACGAGCGCCTCCGGTGTCGGAATGAGCTGCAAGAGCTCCTGCAACGGGCCCACGTAGTCTCCCAGGCAGCGGTTCCAGACGTAGATAAACGCGTCGTACAGATTATGATGCTTGCACAGCGAAGTGGTCTGGTCAATGTCCATCGTGGCGGTATCCAACAGGCAGATGATCTCTTCCAACCGGCTAACGCTGTGGTTCGTCGCGAAGTGATTGATCAGGGCCTTCACGGCAGTCGGAGGAAGAGAGCGGACGGTCCCCTCCACGATATACGGTTCGAGCGCATCCAGAAATATCCCCGGTGAGCCACTCTCCTCGTACCAGGTAAACACCTCGTCCCAAAGGAAGTCCTCCTCGGACATACAGACGCACGCCGCGATGGACACCTCTGCTAGTTTCTCAAGCTGTCCGTTCCCCAGTCTTCCGCTATTCGCTTCTGTATTTCGCCCAAAGGCATACTTCAGCGAAGCCGAGATCATTTCCAGGAGTTTCTCTCGAACCAATGGCTGCCTCAGTGCATCCTCCTCCGGTAATCCAATGGTCAGCTTCTCGGCGCTACCTTGATAGTATGATGTCGCCAGCTGGATCGCACCGATAAAGTCACCGGCTTCCATGAGGGCCAACAACCGATCCGCCCAGTTCGACAGGCTTCCGATCAGCATCTCGTTGAAGCCCAAGAGAAACAGGCGCCCTTTGTAAGAACGGAAGCTCATATAAAAGGCGTCTGCCACCACTCCATGCATCGATGTATCCTCTTCATTGAACTGCTCGACCAAGTTATGCAGCTGCGCGGAGAACAAATCCACGTGGTAGATATGCCTGTTGAGGAGGTCAACAGCCTCCGTAACACGCATGGTGTGGTCCTCCAGTATAAGCAACTGCTGTGTGATAGTGAGCACTGCCAGCACTGAGCGGCTCAGCCATTGCACGGCAACAATCGCCTCGTCGGCCTTCCATCGGCTCCTGGGTCTGAAGGATAGGCTTGGAGGGCGATCACGGCTCGGCGACTCGTCGGTTTCCACCTCCGAGACGTCCATAACCGTCAGCACATTGGACCAACAATATACAAGCTTCGTCTTGGAAATCTCCGAATCTTTGCCCTTGAGCCGGATGGCAGGGAACCAGGCAAGGGCTCCAGTCATGGCGCCGTGAGCTGTAACTTCTTTCGGACGGGGCGACTTGTGTTGTGTCTGTGCGACAGGCGTCGTCGACACAATGACGAGGAGATACGGTGTAAGCATGGCGACCAAACCTAGCGAGTCGGTGGATTGCTCGACATTGCCGAGCGGGAGCGGCGAGAATGCCAGGACCGAGCTGGGCTTTCGCGGTCGGCTGCCTTCCGCAAAAGCCTGAGGATAGCGACCCAGAATCCGAGTAGTCTTTACCGTCCGTCCCATTGCGCCCATTCCTCGAGTAGCAAGGTGTGAGAAGGCCATTCCTCGCTTATCTGCAGATACGAGTGCCGTCCGTCGCGTTCCCAGAAAGCCCACATGGATGACCGGCGCACCCGCGATATGGCCGTCCGATGTTCGAGTCTCAATCTGACTAGCAGGTATGGGGGGAATATGGAGGAAAGGCCGTGCTGACCGCGAGATCTCCCAGGTGAATATGTCGCCCGAAGTGTGGCCTCCAGCAACCGTCGAGTGGTCTGCTGACAGCGCTAACGACGTGATCGCGCCACATTCAATTGCTACATTGTGCCCAAGTCAGCAGCAGGGACCTAAGACGAGCTCAGTATCAGACGTACCCTTTGTCCCAAGTCCAATGATGGTCTTCAGGTTCTGCTGATAGTCAAATACCAGGATGATGCCCTTGGACGTACCAACCACGATGGACGTCGAAACGACCATGCAGGTGGGATGTCCAAAGTTACGTTTACCAACTTCCGAGAATGCCTGCCCATTGAGCTTCCTCAATCTAGTCCATTGCACAACATCCCACGGGCCCAGAGGGGTGTCCGCGCCCGAGTCCACGGTCCCGGGCGATAGATGGCTAGTAAGGGAAGATTTTCGGGAGTGAATCTGGGCTAGAAATGGGGATGACGGTCGGAAACTGACTGGCGATGCGGAGGAGAGTCTTGACTGGAAACGACGATCGAAAGGGCGATGGGAAGGACTGGGGCTGAGGTGAGGAGAGCCGCGGAAGGCTAACGCGCTGCTGCTTCGCGACGATAGAACAGAGCCCTATTCTCATCAGCGGGGAGTCAGGGCGGGACAAACATGGTCGCGACCAACATGCAAAGAAGGGGTATCATCTGGCGTCGAGAGGGTCTCATCCATGCTACCGGGAGCGCCGGGCTGCCCGGACTGCGGCGAGGATGGCAGGTCGGTGGTATCGGCGTCAACAGGAGGGCTTGGTTTTCCCGAAACATGATTTTCGCTGGCTACGCCGGGGAGATCCTCCTCTAAGTAAGCCATTGAGCCATGTTCCGGTGGTTGCTGAGCGTTGGCATGATCGGAGACGCCGTTGTGGGCGGGCGGGGAGTGTTCATCGTCTTCCTGGCCCAAGTCGAGCTCATCCTCTCGTGCCCAGTCATTACTGGTCTCGATCATGGAGCTCATCGGCAGGATGTTCGAATGACCATCGCTCCAACTGTCTTGTCTAAGAGTAACAATGATCGCAAGGGGATGTTGAATGGAAGCTGTACGGTGAGGCGCCGATGGTCTCAACACTCGATGTCACGAAGCTCGAACGGGGCAATAAAAGTGGAGGCTGGCCGGGATCAACGGGGGGGCTGGATGTCAGGTTCAGGGCGGCGGCAGACACTGGGAGAGAGCACGGCGAGGAGACGCACGAGCTTTCCAGGTAAGATAACTATGATGCCGAGTGGGGTGAGGAATGATCTGGGGGAAGAATTAGAGGCTCCCGACAAGCTTGGGTTGAACTGGACTGGACTGGAGGACGCAATGGAGAAGGACCCGGCCAGGCAGAGACCAGGCAGAGATACCGGAGATACCCACCGGCGAAGGAGGAGGAGTTGGTATCGGGGTATCTTGGTACGGTTACCGTTACGCGATCTAGTCCCAATCCGGAAAGGGGGAGAAAGTTCAATGTTGACCATGGATGCCTGGGTGCCTAAGATGCATGAATGGCCATTGTCTCGATAAACTACAGATCAACAATGGAGTTGGACAGATACAGTACATTTTGTTTCTTACTCCTTATATCTTGATATTCGGTTTACCTAACAAGTTCCACAAGACGTAGAATTATCCCTTCTTGCGTGTGTGGACAGCAAAACAATTCTCTCACACGATTGATGCCTATACCACGTGGACGGTTTCGGTCGGAAGAGACATCCAATTCATCACTTCATCGGAGACGTCACATCCTCCTAGTTCCCAATACTTAATATTCCGCGCATTTATCGCTGGGATCGACTCTGTGGCTGAAGATTCAAGTGTTGCAAAGCCGAGGTAAACATGGGGGACCCTTGTCCATGCCTTAGGCATCTACCACCCCCAGACGAGGGAACTCTCCTCTCTGAGTTAGTTCAGCACCAGAAACACCTATCACAAAGGAAACAACATGAGATGGTGAGGATCACGGGGATATTCTTTCCCCCTTACGTCCCATCATGAACCAACACGGTGCGTCGCTGTCAAGCTTCTGACCTGCATGGCGACGGGTTTCATGTGACAACAGTCCCTCTCTATTTTCCCCTCATCAGGTCTTTCTAAGGGAATGCAGGGAGAATGGTCATACATATCCCATCATGTTTCCAACAGTCAGCAATTCCTCCCACTCAGGAACTTACAGTTAGCGCCCCCGAAGGCTAGGCTAAGGATCTGCCAATATATTCAACCGCCTGGCTCCGAACCAACCACTCGTTGTCTCCTTTACAACCCCCCCGCTTGATTGGATTGCAGTGGCATGGTCAGCATTCACTAGTTCTGCACTCAGGGAGTTAGCTCATGGGCTTAGAGCGTAGAGTAGTATTAACTATTGACTGCTCTCCCGCCCGTCCTATCATGATGCTTAACCGTGATTGCCCTGTCGGTTGGTGTCCGGGTTGGGGTTATCACACTGTCTCTCATCATCACCCGTGCAGGTCACAAGCTGGCAAATGGCTCCAACAAGCCACTACTGAATTCATCAGCCATGGTTGGCGCGGTCACTTTAGCAGAGGATGGGATATTGGGTGGACATCGTACAACAAGGGCCAGGGTATAAATAAAGCCGGCGCATTCCTCATTCATCGGCGTCCTCCCTGCCTGTTACGGCAGCGCCCCTGTCGAACACAGCAATAACTGCGTCTGAAGGACCTGAAACGCTCTTGCATGATGAGGTCCCCCCCACCCATCCTCTTCGGCCTAGCGGTGGGCATAGCATCCATTGTGCCAACCGTCGCGCAGTCTACCTGCAACGGCCAGGCTGACTACTGTGATCGCCGCTATTCGAATGTTACCCAGGTCGGCGCCCACGACAGCCCTTTCGTTGGATCGCTGCTCTCCGATAACCAAGATCTCAGTGTCACCCAGCAGCTGGACCTGGGAATCCGCTTCCTCCAGGGCCAGACCCACAAGTCTGCACTGGACGATACCATCCTCCTTTGCCACACGTCGTGCCTGCTGGAGGACGCGGGCAGCCTAGAATCATTCTTAACTACAGTCAAAACCTGGATGGACAGCAACCCGGATGAGGTGGTGACCCTCCTTCTTACGAACGGTGATAGTTTATCGGTCTCACAGTTCGGCGATGTCTTCAACAGCTCCGGTATTTCAGACTATGCATTCGTGCCGAATTCGTCCCCAAACACTTTGGCCATGGATGAATGGCCGACCCTACGAGAACTGATCGGAAATGGCACGCGGCTGGTGTCTTTTCTTGGTAAGCAGTAGCCAGGCAGGCGTGTCCTGAGAGGCTTGTTTGACCAGATTTCCAGATTATGGCGCCGATACTTCGACCGTTCCATACATCCTCGACGAGTTTGCGTACTTCTTCGAGACCCCTTATGACGTGACGAATGCGACCTTTCCCGACTGCAGCATTGACCGGCCCGCTGGTGCGTCGGCCTCTGGACGGATGTATATTGTCAATCATTTTTTGGATGTCGACATCTTGGGGATTCTCATTCCCGATAAGGACCATGCATCCGACACCAACGCAGTGTCGGGGTCTGGGAGCATTGGAGCCCAGGCAGATCTGTGCTACTCCATATACAGCCGCTTGCCCAACTTCATCCTCCTGGATTTTGTCGATTTGGGTGAGCCGATTGCGGCTCAGAATGAACTGAATGGTGTCTAGAACGCTTATTGTCATCCTTCCGAGCAGCGTGGCTCTGGATTTACCAACCTCATTGACATGCTATGTAAATCTAGCAGTGTTCTATCAAGTATCTTACCATTCGGAGTATAATGAATCTGCCGTTCTGCTCATCTGTAAAGTCCAAACGAGGCCAGACCTCACACTGCGAGGGAACGTATAGATCTATCGTTTAGACGAAGTCCTTTAGTCCAAAACGTCGAGCAGATAGCGCCAAGTCGCCCCACTTTAACTTCCAAGACACTTCCAAATTGTTCACTCGTCTAATTCAATCTGCATCTCGCGTTCTGTTATAATTTTGGGATATCTAGGTTAGAAATGCCGGGCCGGAACAGTAGCAGGTAGCAGAATCTTCCATACGTACCCCAGATCCTGTTGGCCGACGCAATAATGACTTCTGCCTTAGCAAGCAACTTCTTCGCATAACGCTCGGCCTCCGCCGGGTGCAGCTGGTTTTTCTGGGTCTTCCGCGGGTTTACCTGTAATTTTTGGTTAGCACAGCCTCATTACACTTTGCTATCAAAGCTTGTCATACCATCATAAGTATAGGGACAAGGTCCTTTGCATCAGCCTCTGCCAATGCTCTTAGATTGCGGAAACCATTTTCTCGGAGTGACCTGGCCGTCCATCCCTTCACGAAGGTAACCTGAGCCATTTCCAGCAGATCAGCGCGCGCCCCAGCCTCCAGACGATCTCGCATATGATCCAAAACTGCCGCAAGCATGCCCCAGTTCATTCGCTGGCAAAATTTCACTATACCCGCAGCAAAGCCATGACATTGTTGTGCCAAGGTTTGGACTGCTCCCCGCGGAATCCGATAGCGATTGGCTACTGCCGACAATGGCACTTCGTTACTCAAGTCCCGAAGTTGAAAGGCCGTGTACGCTCTGCGATAGATCCTGGCCTGGTTAATCTGTTCTGGCGTGTTCTCCTTGAGCGATGCCCCACTTTGCGCCCTGCGAAACCGTTAGCGCCTTCATGAACGATCAAAGGGGTTGTGAGGCCAAATACATCGTATTCACGAAACCTGGACTGACACCAACGAACTGCAATGCGCGTAGCCCACTCTCATCGAGGCTGTCCAACTGATCGCGAAAGATAAGCCAATCGATCGGGGTGGCCGTGGCTGCTTGCAGGGGCGTGAACAAGTAGAAGATGTGCATATCGCCATCCATAACGAATGCTTGCAACGCTCTTCTCAACTCCTCGTAGACAAAGAGACCGTCTTCGGGCGCAAACGCCGAAGCCACTACCGCTTGGCCAAGTTGTGTTGATGAGTACGATTCGTCGTCGTTCAATTGTACAAGCCCCTCGGTGGCTAGTTCTTGCAGCGCGGAACCCATGATACCGTAGGCTACCCTTTTATCCACCGTCAGGTACAGAAGGGTACATCTAACGTATTCCTTGATAGCATCGTGACCGGAGACAAGCCCGGTCGCAATAGCTTCCAATAGTGCCCTTGTGGGAGGTGAGCGATCCATTCCTCAGAAAGAAGGAGTTGAGAACTCACCTCTTGAGTCCCCTCTTCTCCGGGGCTAGGCAACTTTCGATGGCGGGCATTTCTGCTTCTAAGAGGTCGCAGACCGCTTGTAGGTCGCTATCCCCACATATCAGGTATGTCTCACCCGCCTCATCTTTCCCTTTGCGGCCAGCTCTTCCACACATCTGTCGCCTTCGCGAATATTAGCTGATAGCACACTATGTTCACTACAAAGGCACCTTACAGCATTGCGGGCCCTACAAGTTCCCTGCCCATGCGTGCTCCATTGATAATAACCCTCCGTGCAGGGAGATTGACTCCAGCCGCAAGACTGCAGGTCGCTATGAGTATACGCAAGACACCTTGGTCGTATGCCTGCGCTATCAGTTCGCGCTCCTCTGCTGTCATTCCTGCATCTATACGATAGCTTAGCATATGCGTGGAATCGATGCGAATGGTACTTACGGTGGAACCCTACTCCTCTCACGAGCGTCTTTTCGAGAACCGGGTCCAAGCCGCTAGGCAGACTGCGTAGATCAGCAAGCAAATCCAATCGCTTGCTGAGTTCATCTGTGTTCTCCGCAGGTGCTGGCATTGCTTCGCTTATAACAGCTGCTTGGATCTGGCATATATGCCGACTACCGCAGAACACCAAGGCGCCATGCCCGGCGTCGGCTGTGTCGATTGCCAGAGCTACAGTCGAATTCGTCATGGGATTTGCAAGCTCGCGGAAGGTTGAGGGGCGAATAACACGATCTGGAGGCATGCATTCCATGAGGGTTGCGTTGGACATCGACTTTAGCTTAGAGATCGTTTGGAAAAGCTGCCTCGAGGTTGCTGCGGGATAGATTGCATTCTCATAAACCAGGTAATCATCAATCGGGATTGGTCGGTATGTCGACACAAAGTAAGCGGCATTCATCCACTCAGCAAGCATTTCTGTGTTCTTGGACTCGTCAGAAAGATCGCCTTAAGGCTTGCGAACCGAGTCTAAGATCATACCGATAGGGTGGCACTCATGCCAATGATTTGGGTCTTCTGTCGCAAGAGGAGTAGTTTGGTGACCATGAGTTCTAACAAATACCCGCGATGTTCATCATCCAGCATATGTAGCTCGTCCAAAACGACTACACCCAAGTCGCCAATGCTGCATTCTTCAATGGCGGAATTGATTAAAGAGTTCGCCTATGTGACAACTATCAGAGATGATTCGTGACCTCGAGGACAAAGAGATAACGCACCTTCTCAATCGTGCAGACAGCTATGTCCGTGTCTGCCCAGGATGCAGCAGTCCTGCTTCCACCATAGTACCCAGTGACACGGATTGATCGCTGGAGCTTGTTCCACCGGTTGTGGTACGGTTTTTCATTGGCTGCTTGGTCATCAGCATCATGGGTGATTTTCTCGACATCCTGTACGATGCGTCTGAGCCACTTGAGCTTTTCTTGTACCAAGGCAACATAGGGAAGGACAAGGATAGCCTTGCGTCCAGGGTTCTCAATGATACGCTTAAGCATCAAAACATCGGCGACGAGAGACTTCCCCCCGCCCGTGGGGGCTGTGTAGACTAAATGTCGGTCGCCCTTGAGGAGGCCTGGCGCTAGAAGGCATGACGCCTGCCACTGGTAGATACTGCGAAGCCCAGCTGCGGCAAAGTTAGCCACCAGTCCTGGAGGCAAGCCATACGTGGGGTGATTCAAGGACAAATAAGGATTGTGTGCCGGATCCTGGTCGGTAGGGAACACATTCAGCTGTTGACCACGACATGCCGGCGGCGTCTCAGCAACCGGATAGATGTCACTGGCGACCAGACGGGCCTTGGGAAGGATGAACGAGGGGCGGATAAAATCTACCGACCGGCCAACCGCACTAGAAACAGTCGTAGGATGTCTGACTCCCACTGGCCTGTGATCATCGTCTGCAGTAGGGTCCGGGGGTCGCTTGTTTCCAGCCAATGGGACTACCTCGAACGTCCGCTGGCGGGCAATATCGACGGATGTCTGAAAGCCAAAGGTCTGAAATGGCTGCCCAGGTGGTGCAGACATACCTGGGTCGACGTTTAGACCTCTGTACAGCTATGGCGGCTCTCGTGGGGCTCCCATACGCAATGAGATTCATGGAAAGTATAATATGGTCGGAGAGTGCCCAGGCAACATTGGAAGGATGGCTAATCCCGGTGGGACAAGAACTAGCTTGATATAAACGAAAGACAACAGAAATGAGAGGAATAGATATCCAAGCGTGTTAAATTCTCAGCCAGACCAGATATGATAGTACTGATGATGGTGATGATGGCAGCAACCATGCCAGAACCTTGGCGAGACCTGTTTGTGGTGGTGATGGTTCTGGCAGGAACGCGGGTGCAACGCGCTCGTTTCGGGAAACTGCATCCCATCCAGTAACTAAAGATGTGGGTGACCTATCGGCCTCAGGCACCACAACCCCGATCTGCCTTCTCGGCGAGCCTAAGGCCGCTAGGTGGTACTTACGTACACTACATACTACATCCTGCAAAGCCTGATAGGCCTGAGTTATTCTGCTGTGAAATGAGGAATGAATAAATAGCATAAAGTTCATACCCAAGGTACGATAAACCAATGATAATATCATAGCGACAATTAATATTGATAGTTAGTAGGTGTGATGGGCTTTTTTATTTTTCTGTTCCCGTGCGGAAACGTTCCTGGATCGGCTCACCCGCTAATCGGAGCCCTGCTGATCCGCCAGTCGAAAGGAATGACTTACCCAACGGAGGTTGGTCGTGTGCTAGTCAATAGCGGCATGCATCTTCCGTGGGCAAGTGGCACTGGCCATATGGTGCCTAGCAGCGTCCCCGGATATGATTATTCCTCCCCGTACGGGCGAGGGAACTGAAGTAACGAGTCCGGCAGCCAAAATATCAGAAGCAGCAATATGAAATGAAGACAACGGCGCCCGCATTGATCACCACGAATTTCGTATGTACTTCGATCAGTCAGTAAGTAGGTGTCCAGTGTTCACTAACCCGGGCAATTCCACCCTACGACCCAGTTGGGGGGCACAGACGTTAGAAAGAATCCAGCTGCCACGCTATTCCTTCTTGTCCCGCGCGCGCTCTGCAGACTAAAGGTAGGTGAGTAAGCAAGGGTGGCCGGAGAAGAAGCCCGGCTATCAGAACCCAACATTTATTATTGATCGCTAGTTGAACTTCATGTCCACCCCCCTCTTTCATACATACCTTCCGACAAGCATCGGGATACTCTTCTGGGAGAGTGGGAACTGCATCTAACCTGCCTCCAAGAAACAAACTTTCACTATGGAACTTACAGCATTAATATGACAATATTTCTTTCTGACCAGCACGATTGTCTCGTGCGGGCTGGCTGCCTGGGGTCACCTGACGATTAGGATCATAACAGCCTTTTGGCTACGGAAGAACTAAGGTAAGGCCAGGCAGCGTCCGACTCCATACGGAGTGCTAAAATGCGGACCTGCGCAACACGAGTCTGGCTTACCGAGTATTATTTTTTTTTTCTCATTATTGACACGCCCCTTCATGGGTTGGTTCATGTGCACCCTCTCCTCACATCCCGCGTTGTGAGCCTCTTGTGTACAGTCATCATTCCCATGAACCTACCATGCCATGTATAATAGTGAATTGCCGTGGACATCAACTTAACAGCTCAAGTTTTATCCTGGGAATGCTCCGGCTCAGCTCTATCTACCCTGTACATGGTCGTTTACGCTGAAGTGGCCAGAGTGTCCCAGGTAGACGGATACCTCGGGCCAAAGTGCCATTCTTCTTCAACATTATTGAACCGGAGGACTATGGGCCCGAAAAAGAAAAGGAAGGGTGAAAAAAAGGAAAAGAAACGAGGGAAAAAAAGAGCAAAGAGGGAAGAAGCCCACACCCCCCAAGTGATCCACCCACATGTGGCCACTCACGCTTAAGCAGACTTGATCAAACTTACATTCCCCGTACACCGTATCATCATTATTCATGACAATTAGGGTGGTTCTTCCTCACACCTTTACGAGTTTTGTTTTGAGCAATTTGAAGTGCCCTTATTTGAAGGAGAATTCGGCGCAAAAACTCAGCTATCACATATTAAGTCCACGGGGGCTTACCTGAGCTGAACCTGATCTTGTTGTTCATGTGTACATCGTAACACATTAGTTCGTTCCTTCCTAGGGCCCTCTGCAGGCACTAGTCAGTTCCGAGGTGCCAGACTCCTTCATACCGTCCCCATCACAGTAGCGCGCTCTTTAGCATCGGACGATCGAGTCACTTTGCCGCGTCTACACCTTACACGTTTTGGACGGTCGGTTGGGTTGAGTAGAGGCAGCCGAGCATTATAATTGGGGGTTGTGTTTTCGGTCATCAGATGATGATCATGAGGAATTGAATCACTGGGACCTTCAAACTGTAAATTCCCAATGTCTCTGGTTCAAGGATCGACTGCGATTTAAATTAGCCCCCCATGTATCGACAACTATTTTATCAATTCTAGTAAGATGTGAGCGAGTCGTGACAGGATAGTGCGTCCGGCTTGGTACTACACTGTAGTAGCTGTCGGTTTTGGCATTTGAAACACCAGAGCCGACCAACCCCGGTCAATCTACCTTTGACGGGGAAAGACTATCATCTCCAAGCCACAAGACCATCCACCGTACCTAGTTATTGCTTGCTATTTGAATACCAGGTCCTATCTGAAGATACCATCAATACTTGGTATGGAAACCACTTTATGGCCACCTCTCAGATGCGGGGTGCAAACCATTTACATGTTGCTTGGCTTAAAAGAAAGGGTAAGTGCCAGCCTTGCTGAAGGCTGTAATGTGGCAACAGAATCAGGACGTCCAGCGCGGCAACCAAGTCGCAGTCTCATTGGACCAGGTTGACTTGCGGTTTCTGATCCCAGGAGTTTCCAAGGTCCGTTGGTCGCCCGGAGACCTGGGATGCCTTCCTGCTGGGCTTATCGGGGTGATGGTGATGATGTAACTTAGGCCGGCTTCAAATTGATCGACCTCGTAAAGTACGGGAATAGTGATTATCATTCCTCCAGGCACTTGGGGAGATCCAGATGATTGGGACAGAATTCCCCGGAGCACTGGTCATCATCCGAAATATCTACCTAACCTGCTGCCATCCGGCCGGAACGTCCCTTCGGATGAGCCAAGACAATCGAAAAGAAAAAAAAAAAAAATCCTCGCACCCAAACG